CAGGTACTTTTTCTTCAGCTTTTTGAGATTTTGAGATTTTTTAGATATATTTGAGATTATATTTGGGATAATTTTGAGATTATTTCCAACTTACATATGAGGCGGAAGATTTGTACAAATAACTCCCATATACTCAGGCCGGGCGCCGTGGCTCACGCCTGTAATCCCAGCACTTGGGAGGCCGAGGCAGGTAGATCACCTAAGGTCAGGAGTTCGAGACCAGCCTGGCCAACATGGTGAAACCCCGTCTCTACTAAAAATACAAAAAATTAGCTGGGTACAGTGGCACGCGCCTGTAATCCCAGCTACTCTGGGGGCTGAGGCAGAAGAATTGCCTAAACCCAGGAGGCAGAGGTTGCAGTGAGCCGAGATCACACCACTGCACTCCAGCCTGGCCGACAGACTCTGTCTCAAACAAAACAAACAAACAAAAAAAACTCCCATATACTCTTTACCCAAACTGACCAACTGGCAAAAATTTGCCACATATGCTTTAATCTATATTATTTTCTTTGAAATAACCTACAGTGTATAGCTAGCTGTGAGTTTTTACTCGCTTCAAACTATTACAGGCCAAGGCATTCCCAAGAGCATGTTCCCCGTAGTAGTCCAGGTGCACTTAACATGTGTGGACAAGGTCTCAGCCCCGGAAGCACTAGGGCTGATCCTCGGCTGTGAGGCCTTTCCACGGGGACCGGCACTCCAGCCTGGCCTTTCACCGCCCTTTTCCTAGCCACCCCTGTGGGATGACTCTTGAATCCTACACTGAGTTAGAAAGTAACAATGAAGAGAAATCAAGGCCCCAGGGTGAGTTCAGAGGACAAGAGTTCCCCCAGACGTGCATGGCCGTAAGTGCATGGCAGCACCGGAAGAGCTTGTGCAGCTGAATAAATCTGGGATGTGCTGTGTTAAATACAGCGTGGGAGGTTCCTCTGCCTCTCTGAGACTGTCAGATTCTCAGAGCCTTTACTTAAGGCCAATTAATGTGCATTGCAAATCTCTTCAATAAGGGGATTTAGTTTGTAACAGATCAAAGAATCCCTTAATTTTAAGGAGCATTTTGTAAGACCATAACATATAAAGACACAAAAAAAAATGGTTTTCTAATGAGAACTAAATGTTAATTAAGCATGCATATGTTGGGCATTTAAATGAAGATTAGAAACATCCAGGCCGGATGCAGTTGCTCATGCATGTTATCCCAACACTTTGGGAGGCCAAGGTAGGTGGATCACCTGACGCCAGAAGTTCAAGATCAGCTAGACAACATATCAAAACCTCGTGTCTACAGAAAATTTTAAAACGTACCTGGGTATGGTGGCACAGGCATGTAGTCCCAGCTACTCAGGAGGCTGAGATGGGAGGATTCCTTGAACCCAGGAATTTGAGGTGGCAGTGAGCTATAATTGTGCCACTGCACCCCAGCCTGGGTGACCCCAGCCTGGGTGACAGCAACACTCCATCTCAAAACAAAAAAAAACTATTTGAAGCAACGCCCTTTGCAATGACTCCATTCCCTTAATTTTAAGGCTCTAGAGAGGGACAAATAGTCACACTATTACAGAAGAAAGCCTTTTTTGGTTTGTTTATTTGGGGCATTGCCTCGCAGTGTCACCCAGGCTGCCTGGAGTGCAGTGGCAAGATCATAGCTCACTGCAGCCTCCAACTCCTGGGCTCAAGCAGCCCTCGTGCCTCAGCCTCCTGAGTAGCTGGGACTACAGGCACACACCACCACACCTGGCTAATTTTTACATTTTATAGAGATAGAGCCTTGCTATGTTGGCCAGGCTGGTCTCGAACTCCCTCGCCTCAAGTGATCCTCCTGCCTCCACCTCCCAAAGTGCTGGGATTACAGGTGTGAGCCACTGCACCCAGCCAAAAGCCTATTTTTCATTCATTCACTACACACTTACTGTGTGTGTGCCAAACACCTCACCTGGTGCTTTGGGATTAGAAAGATATATAACCTACTCATTTCAGTGTCCATAAGTTTTTCTTTTAAATGCTTAAGGGAAGCCTGACTATTGCTAAAGTCAGTCTGTCCCCCTGTGAGGAGTTTCATACCTCAGGACATCTTCGGGACACCCTTTCTGTGGTCTAAGCAGCTGTCTAAAGCCTGTTGCCTGGGATGCCTTGTCGAAAAAGGAGTGGAGGGGATGAGGAGGAGGCCCAGGGATTCCCGTGGCACCAAGGAAGAAGGCGAGCTTCCACAGGACCTCTGTCTGTCTCCCTGGGCTGCCATAACAAAGTGCCACAGAGGCTGAGTGTCAAACAGCAGAAATGTATTTCTCACAGCTCTGGAGGCTAGACGTCTGAAATCAAGGTGTGGGCAGGGCTGGTCCCTTCAGACGCCCCTCCCTTGGCTTGCGGCCGCCTTCTCCCTGTGTCTCACAGGGTCTTCCCTCTGCACACGGCTGCATCCTCCTGGTTTCCTCTTCTCTCTAGGACACCAGTCATACTGCATTAGGGCCCACCCTAATGACCTCATTTTACCGTAATTGCCTCTGTAAAGGCCTTATCTCCAAATATAGTCACATCTGAAGTGCTGGGGGTCAGGGATTCTATGTAACTTCAGGGAACACAGTTCGGCCTGTAACAGCCTGTCCCCACACCCACAGCACTTAGCTTCACAGTGCACATGAGCACATCACTGAGGTGTCCCCACAAACCATGACTCGTAGTGTCTAACCGTTTCCCAGGTACTTGACAACAGATCACTTTTCTCTCAGAAGGCAGCAAACGTTCCCCTGATAACCAGGGGACAGACACCCTGCTTAGCAGATGCTAAACTGCCCCTGTGCAGAGGCGGCCACGGGGCCGCTGCAGTGTCCAATACAGAACCACTGGGCACAATATGGACATTTAATTAAAACTAGCTGGCAGAGCGTGGTGGCTCACACCTGTAATCCCAGCACTTTGGGAGGCCAAGGCGGGCGGATCATGAGGTCAGGAGTTCGAGACCAGTCTGACCAACATGGTGAAACCCCATCTCTACTAAAAATACAAAAATTGGCCAGGTGTGGTGGCGCACACCTGTAATCCCAGCTACTCAGGAGGCTGAGGCAGGAGAATCGCTTGAATCTGGGAGGTAGAGGTTGCAGTGGGCTGAGATGGCTCCACTGCACTCCAGCCTGGGAGACAGAGCAAGACTCCATCTCAAACAAACAAAAAAACAAACTAGCTAATTAGGCTGGGCACAGTGGCTCATGCCTGTAATCCCAGCACTTTGGGAGGCCGAGGCAGGCAGATCACTTGAGGTCAGGAGTTTGAGACCAGCCTGGCCAACATGATGACATCCCCCCGTCTCTACTAAAAATACAAAAATTAGCCGGGCGTGGGCATGGTGATGGACGCCTGGAATCCCAGCCACTCAGGAGGCTGAGGCAGGGGAATGCCCTGAACCTGGGAGGCGGAGGTTGCAGTGAGCCAAGACTGCACCACTGCACTCCAGCCTGGGCAACAGAGCTAGACTCAGTCTCAAAAATATATAAATAAATAAATAAAATAAAATTAGCTCATTAGAAATCAGCCCCTCGGTGGTATCAGCTAGACAGTGACTATCGACTAGATAGTGACTAGATAGGGCAGATAGAGGACATTCCCATTGTCACAGAAAGCTCTGTTCAGACCTTCCTTTCTGGAAGCTCCTCCCTTGACTTGCCTGCCCGGGGCTTTCTCTGACCTATCCATGCTGCTTCAGCCTCCTGGGGGCAGTGATAAGGGTAAGGTTATCTGGGTCCTCAGCTGATGCTTGCATTGAGACCGCTCCTGCCTCTAAGTGCTCCCATGCGAAACAAGCAGGCCACCATCACCAAAGCCTCCGGCACCTGCTCAGTGTGGCCTAGTCCTTCCCCAAGGTGCATGCTGGGGCCACGCAGGGCTAGTGCACACGCTCTCTCTTGCAGAGGATCAGCACGGCCACCGGCGAAGGCAAACATTACTGCTACCCGCACTTCACCTGCGCCGTGGACACAGAGAACATCCGCAGGGTGTTCAACGACTGCCGCGACATCATCCAGCGGATGCACCTCAAGCAGTACGAGCTCTTGTGAGGCTGCTGCTGCCACCCCGCGATGGAGCGGCGCCCCAGACCGCCTGACTGCCAGCCCCATGCCATGGTAGGAGGCAGGGTCTCTAGTTCCATCTCGCTGCCGTCTGTCCCGTTCTGTGTCGACCACCAAGCCTCTGGCTACCTCTGTCCCCTCAGGTTTGGTTGTGTAGCTTCTGTTGTCAGTGAATACGACCTTCCGCAGCATCCCACCCCCAAACCACCGACTCTCATTGCTGACACTGCAGCAGAATCTCTCCGGGTGGGAGCCCCTTTATTCATTCTCCCTTTATTGATTCATCGAGGAGAACTTGGTAGATGGGGAGAAAACGCAGTTTGCTTTTTTTCCCACGTTGTCAAGCGCGACCGCAAGAGCGTACGTGCAGTGTCCTGAGCCGCGGCCCTCTCTGATTTTCCCTTTATGAAGCTGCAGGTTGACGAGCGATGGTCCCTTCCCATCGGCCTTAGCCCTAGACTTAGAGTCGACCCCAAGCGACAGAGTGACCAGAAACCCTTTTACAGTCACATTCAGAGTCGCTGCTGGCCTCAGGCATTTGAATTAGAGCTACTTTGAGCCTCTTACATTTAGGCAGAAAACCTACCATATTCACTACTGCAAACTCTGTCTTGTGTAAAAATGATTCTCTAAACTTTCACTATACTTAGGCATAGTCTTCTTTCTCAGATTCTCTTTGTTGTTGTCCCTATTGCTGGTTTATTATACTGTACAGACCACAAAATATAATATTCTTTTGTATAACTACTAAAGAAAAATCCTTGTAGATCTTTGTGCCTTTACCATGGCTATCTATACCTGTACATGAAATGTGTTTGTATCGTGCTAAAGAGCTTAATGTCAACATTACCTGCTGCTTACTCTGAAAAAAGGAATGAATGGTAGCTGTAGAATTTAGGATATTTCATAAGGTTGGCACTTTATAAAATACTCCCTGATTTTAAAAATTTTAAGTTATACACATTAACCATCCACATTCTACCAACAGTGTCGTACCAACATCACAAGCTGTTGCAACCACCTGCTTGCTCTTGTCTGAGCTGTAAAAACCTGAACTCAATTCAGGGGTACAAATTTGCAATCTAATCTTTTCAGGGTACCAGGCACTTTTTTCTCTCTCTCTAGACAATATGTTTCCTAATTAGTCTGCTAATGAAACACTCCTTCAAGTTCCCTAGGTGGGAACAGGTCCACCATTCCCTTAGTCAAAACTCTGGACACAGGCTACATCATACAAGTAAGCAAACAGTAAGAGAAAAACAAGACGTGATGTGTCAATGTTTGTGTCTGGCCTAGGAGAATAAGGATGACAGCTTCACTTGCCTTTTGAAGAAGAAGCATTACAAAACCTTAATCTGAAGTATAAAGTCAAAAGATACGGCTCTTTCTCACACTCGCAAGATTTACAAATATAGCCTCAAACATTATGACACACGAACAGTATCTAGAAAGTAAGAACCGTTGTAGCAATGACACTTGATGTTCTATGTGCAGCCACAGAGCTGAGGGTAGTTTTCATAGGTCTAAAATAATCTGTAAAGATGTCCAAAGTTAAATTTTCAACAATACAAATCTAGAGAAGTGACAGCCTATTACTTCATTACTCTCCTTTTAGTCTTTAGTCTGTAATATTTTAAAGTTTACTCTAGAAATCAGCATTTTGTAATCCTTTATAAACTCATCCAGATTTAAATGCTACTTTTTCATGCAGAAAGGATGACAACTTTATAGACAGTCAGTGCAACACACACATATTTTGTCTCATCACCATCTTCCTGCCCTTTCCATCCACTGTCTCATAAAACCCTCAGCTGAACTAAGATAAATACAATAGAAATTATTTTCAGTTCCCCTTGCACTGTCAAAGTAAAACAAGAAAACTGAAAAGCTACACCCCCAGCAAGAAAGGGAAGTATGTTGTTGTATGCATCATTACTCAACAATTACCCTCTAACTAAACATCCTGTTTAAGAGTTTAATTCAAACAAGAGCCAGACTGTTAAGAAAAAAAACAAAAAGAATAACTTTTATCTGGCTTACAATTATTAAAGCATTTATTTTCAGGTACCAAAAGCCATATCCCATTCTACTTTTCAAGTTTCTTTTGATCACTGACAGGCATTATCAGATGTAACAACTTGGTCTCCTATAGAGAAAATTACACTTATTTAAAAATCTGATTCCATTAATTGATCAAGTATAAAAATCTATGAAAACAGTATGTTCTGCATATCACATCTGTACTTTTTTTTTTAATTATTTTTTTTTTGAGACGGAGTCTCGCTGTGCTGCCCAGGCTGGAGTGTAATGGCACGATCGCGGCTCACTGCAACCTCCGCCTCCTGGGTTCAAGGGATTCTCCTGCCTCAGCCTCCCAAGTAGCTGGGATTACAGGCGTGTGCCACCACGCTTGGCTGATTTTTATATTTCTAGTGGAGAAGGGGTTTCACCATGTTGGCCAGGCTGGTCTTGAACTCCTGACCTCAAGTGATCCACCCGCCTCAGCTTCCCAAACTCCTGGATTACAGATGTGAGCCGCCGCGTCCAGCCACATCTGCACTTTCAAGGGTACAGCTTTACGGGACATAGGAATTCGAGAACCACTTCACAGGACGAGGGAAACAGCCCAATATTTACGTATACACATAATCCCAAGTGTGTGCTGGGGCCACCAGGCCCTTCCTGGGGGAACAAGGACTGTCGTGCATGTGAGTGACGACATTAATAGCATTTAATACTGTACAGATGCAACCTTCGATGATACATATATTTGATAAAAATGAGAAAACAGATTTGTTGTAGAGTACCTGTCCACTTTGCTAGCATGAGAACAGTACAATCAACTATTTATTTTGCAGTTACTCATGTCAGTGATTGAGAATTTCTGTGATGTGCAGAGAGACGGCCTGTAATTGGTCTCATCATCCACTTGATTCTAACATGATCTCTGCCCAAAGTTCCATTTCTTGGGCTTTGATATTTACAATGGCGCCTGCTCTTCATCTTGTCTTACGCTTTCTGAGCAAGTTCAAACCAGAAAGAAAAGGTGAGGCTAAAAGCCCCAAGTGAGAGAGTGTGAGGACCACAAGGAAGCCTACCGCTCCACAGTAGATGACCAAAACCACGTCCTCACGTGGGAGGTAGCACTTGGAGAGGGCGTAGTCTGTGGGCGTGATGCTGCCCTAGAAAGGAAAAGGGAAAGTTAAGGTGACAGCACCAGGCACAGGTTGAACACCACAGTCTTAGAAACAGCAGAGGGAAACTGCCTTCTCAGGTCCCCCTCAGGTGAGGCAGGGAAGGGGCCCTCCTCACCTGAGAACAAGGGGGCCTGGCCTTCGTCCTGCACCGGGCTCTTCCCCCAGAGCCCGACCAGCCCAGGCTCTGGCAGGAGAGCCAAGTAAGGCCCAAGTGTGCCTGGCTGGAAAATGTCTGGGACACTGACCTGTCAGAACTGGCCCCTGGCCCACCGGGTTCCCATCAAATATAATGGGAGATCCGTAACAGAGATTCAGAGAGGTACATGGAGTTCCAGGGTCATTGGTCAGCAAGGAACAAGGAGGGAACCGTGTCTTCCTGCCCCTTGATGCTCAACTAAGCATCTGTTCCCTAGAAGTACATGTGTCCAGGTCGTCTCCGTGGCCTTTTCTCTGCAGATACGTTTATGTGGAATGACAGTGGCAAATGTTTTCATTTACTTGAATTTGAAAATGTTAGGGTTTCCCCCACCTTTTAAGAAGGAAAAGAACCTGTCATACCAGCATCATGAGCTGGATGTAGGAGCCCATGGCTGAAAGGCGTTAAAACGCCTAGTGGTCATTCAGTGAAACACCTTTTATCAACCTGCAAAGGCTGTAGCGTTCTCTGCCAGGTCAAATGGGCATGTTTTGAAAATAACATGCCCTGAATATAGCTAATGGCTGAGTATAGCTAATGAACAAATGGTTGTTTCTTTAGAAAAGTAAACACACACAGAGTGTAAGAGGAGACGACGTGGCCCTCCCTGAAGGATCAAGTCCACCTGGACAGTGCCCTGCCCTCACTTCCCACACAAACCGCCCAGGAATGTCAGGCTGATTGGTTCCCGGAAGGGTGTTTGGCAAGAGGCAGTGCATGGAACTACGTGTAGAGGGAGGGAAATTTGTGTGTGACTTTTGTAAATTTTTACAGATTGCAGCAATTAAATAGTTGATTACTGTGTTGATTTAAATACTTATGGAAAGCTTTCAGACAAAAATAAACTTTCACGTTACCATGATGAAACTGGGGTTGTTTCTGTTCCTCCAACTGAAAGACGGGACGCTGAGCTCGGGGACTCGGCCCCCGTGGTGCACCTCGCAGGCGCTGTGCGTGTGGCCACTGAGAACCAGGCGCGGCTGGAGCCACCACAGCAGCTGACAGCGGCCGAGAAGACAGCAAAGCAGGCTGTTAGCTCACCCTCAACCAGGCCCTCACCGCTCAGCAGACAGCCGCTGGCCATTGCTTCTTTCATTAAATTAAATACTAAATCCTTATTTTGAAGGACTGGTTTATTTTTTCCCGTAAAAATCCTTTGGTTTATTTATACTAAATCAAAGGTCAGGTGAGCCCCTTTGAGTCTACTGTTCTCATTCTAGATTTTATCTACTTTTTGTGCTTTTTTATCTTTATAAATATTTTATACATTTATCTTATAAATATTTCCTATATTTTTATATTATATATAATGTAATATGTATTATATACATCTATATAAGAAAATGCATTTTAATTTTAACTAAGTCCCTAAAAATTTGACTCTTAAGTTCCATTCACATTTCTAAACACATTCAAGTTGGTGAAAAACTCTGAATACAAAGAATAGCTGAGACTATTATTGACTTCAGCGTAGGAAATAGAAGTAGGTTTACTGGGGAAAAAAAAAAAAAAAGAAAGCAATTACATGATGGTGCTGTGAAAGCCAGGCCTCCATCCACCCCTGTCCCCAGGTGATAACTAAGTCATCAACGTTTCAGCAAACACCTGCTCTAGCCTGGGCGCTCTGCTTGCTGACATGCAAGGTGACGAGAGTCGCACTGCGACATGAATTAGCATCATGACACCATGGCAAACCTTTTGTGATGCCTCCCGTGAAAGCACGTCGTAGTTCTCCTTAAATGGGATGTCCCTTTCCTCTGGAGGAGCAGCGTCGTCCCCAGAACAGTTAGCATCACTTCTCCGATACAGAGGATAATGCTGTCCGGGGTGGAGAGAGGACTTCAGGCGGCTGCCGTGAAACTGCGGGCTGCCTGCTGTCCGCCATGAGCCCCTTCCTCCCCCAGCTCACCTGCAGGAGGACGGGGGCAGACACGGGCAGCAGAGGCCCAGGTCCACACCGGCGGGAGCCACGTGCCTGCTGGGTACAAGTCAGGCCATTAATCCGCACACCTGACCCTCATCAAAGGGCAAGAAGGGCTGGGGGCTGAGTAACAAAAGCAGAGCGACACGGGCCAGAAGTCGCCTGTGGCACTGAGATGCTCTCCTACCTCTCGGGAGCAGTTCAGTCTGTGAGAAACTTCAATGAGCTCTGCTTCTGCTTCAGAGCAGATGCCACAGCCGTCCCCGTTCAGCGCCACGCTGTTGACCATCACGAAGCTGAGGCAGAGGGACACAGGCAGGTGAGGCCGCTGGGGGTACCAGTGCTTGCTTTTCCCCACTGTTCCCATGAAAAGAAAGCTAAGCATCCAATGCAAAGAAATAAGCCCAAAGCAGTTTTTCATTCCCCCCCAAATTATTTTGTTTTTTTTTTAATTTTAGTTCAATATTAACAAAAATAGCATTACTGGGAGTTCAGTCTAAGACATGATCGAAGCGTTTCTGACCCTAAACTTGTGAAAAATCCCAGATTACAGAAACTCTGCAGTTAGATTATGTCTAAGCTCATCCTCTAACCAGGACCTCATCTGGTACAGTGCGTCTTCTGTGCAGAGGGCTAAGAACCCCTCTGTCCACCCCATCAGCTAGTTGTGAGGATTCAATGAAATGACATGGCAGGTGTTTAGAACACAGCCTGCCACTAGAAAGTACTCAGTACTTGTCAGATATTGTGACTAACAGGTAGAGGGAACCATAGGGTGCATCAGTGACATACAGACACACACAGCAAGTAAGGCAGAGGGTAGGGTGCTGGTTAGAGCTAACTGGGTATGGATAATCCCAAACTATGGTAATAACAGAGTCCATTATGGTTAGACTCAGCAGCCACATTTTTTTATAGACTCCCACTAAATACGCTTTTATTTCCTGCACACATACCATCTTGGAATGACGAAAGTCCCAGTCAGTAAAGACTGCTTGAAATTTAACTCGTCTTAGAGATAAGGAGCGGAGTTACCAAGTGATCAGCAGTATGAAGAGCTGTTAAAAGTGCCTTAAACACACACTTAGAGGGAACTAATTCTCACTGTATCATGTTTCTGTTATGAGTCAGCGGAGGAAGCCGCCTACTAGAGGGAGACTCTGCCCTCCTGGCAGAGGGAGGGAAAGGTGAGCACTGGAGGGAGGGAAAGGTGAGCACTGGAGGGAGGGAAAGGTGAGCATTGGCGGTGAAGCCACGGGACAGAAATGACCTCACCTGCAGACCTGCTGTGTCCAAGGTCAACAGAGTGCTCGGCACCCACAGGAAGGGCAGGATTAAAAGAGAAAAAGCTTCCACTCCCACCTGCTTTCTCTCCACCGCGTCTATCATCAGGAGAGAGTATAGAGTCCTGCCCACTGTGCTGCAGCCGCATACACAGCCCAGAAAAGATCCAGAGATGGGCACTGAGGTGGCCTCGCAGAGCGGGAGCTGCTCATGCTCAGGCTAAGGGACAGGGTGCTCGGGTCTAAAAGCCCAGGCCGATGGAGACGGGTAGCACAGAACTACAGCCGCACTGTGACACACTTGCCACCAAATCCCATGACACCATAACTACGGGAACAGTCTTTGTAAAGGGAAATTAGTACATTTTGATCAAATAAAAAGACTCTTTTACAAAGTGGGCTGATGAAATTTGCACCACCCAGAGACAGGGCAGACAGAAAGAGGATCACTCCCACAGTGGCTGAGCAGAGTCATAAACTGACCGATTCACTGTGGGGTTGTGAAGGAAAACCAGGGTGGCTTGAGGTTTCCCATCTATCGGCTCCCATGGCCAGCACCAGCAAGGGCAGCCTGAGGCACTGCTGTTTAAAGCTCATAAACCAGGCTGCATGGAACACGGGCAGATGACAGATCCCAGTACGGCAGGCACCTTTAGAAAATGAAGTTTCCAAGGACTCAAGGTCTTGGAAGAATTTACAAGTAATACTCACTTAATGCCTTTCCAAGAAAACAGTCTTTCAGAGCTGAACACTTTCTCGAAGCGTTCCACTTTGTATGTGTTCATCCTATATTCAAGTGTAAGAGGAAACATTTTTCAGGACAAGCCGTTTTAGAAACTCCTAGAGTTATCACGAACACAAAGTAACTTTCAAGACTTGAGTTTCAGACTAGCATTATTAGGTAAGGGCCCCACCTGGCCCCAGGATATCAAAGCTCAAATTTTAGTTCCACTACTTACTACGAAGCCTGGGGCAAGTTACTCAGCTGCCCAGGGCCTCATTCTGCATTGGCACCATATAGGTAAAACAACAGGACTGTGGTAAAGATTAATGTGTTCATATACGGAAGTAGTGCTTGAAACAGATGGCACGTTATAAGCACTAGAGCACTATATAAATGTTAGCTATTAGAGTCTAAATGATCCTGTTTTTTCATTCCCAAAGACAATGATTGGCCATTAAATGTACATTTCAAGTTAGATGTTTCCCAAGAGCACATACAATTCGTTCATTCCACAGATATTTGTTGAGGGTGTACTATGCACCAAGTAAAAACCCCTTAAAGAGCTGAATATCCCAGAGCTTACATCTTTTGAGGAAAACGAATTTCAAGACAGCACAAATAGGGCTTTCACCAGAATTCCAATAGATTTAGAATTATAGTTAACCAGCGCTCTCAGGGTGCAGGGCTTTCGTGAACTACTTACTCATAATGGAAGCCAATGTCATGGTTTCCAGCAACTACCTTCAGCTGTACGTGACTCGGGTGTCTGAACATTTTCTGAAACCGCTCCACATCATCCGCCCAGGCCTGAGGGAAAAAGAAAAACCTCTGGAGGCCAGAGAACCATCCCTGCCCTGTGGCTAACAAACATGATCCCTGTTTTGTTTGGTTTTGTTTTTGAGACGAGTCTGGCTCTGCCTCCAGGCTGAAGTGCAGTGGTGTGATCTCTGCTCACTGCAACTTCCATCTCCCGCATTCAAGTGATTCTCCTGCCTCAGCCTCCGGAGTAGCTGGGATTACAGACACACACCACCATGCCTGGCTTTTTTTTTAGAAGGCTGGCATGCTTACAGGTGCTCTCTTATGTGATTCAGACTTTGTGTTACTTTTTTTATTGTGGTAATATACACTGTATGTTAACAT